GGGGGGGTTTGTGTTGCCACAAGTTTGTGTTGTCATTCCTGAAAAAACTCGTCAATATATTCAGCCTCACAGGAATACAATGACAATTCAGCCAAGAAAGCTGCACTGTAATTATAAGTCTCCAGGGGTATATCACAAGTCCGCAGGAAAATCTTACAACCAAACTCAGGAAAGATGATGTCAACCACGAACTCGTTCATACCCAGTCGTTAACTGTTATCTAGACCTTTGTTTACAAAGTGTACAACATACCAATTTACAACCGTATATTTATAACGTCGTTCATCTTTGTCGTAAAGAAGGCTCCCATACTAAGACCTTCAGTTTTGTATAACGTGTTTGTATGATAGTATACAGAGAGGAAAAGACAAATGATCTTATGTTTAAATAGCCTTATTTTTGAGAAAAGAATGTTCGGAATTGAACAAAATTAATAAAAACAATATCTTCCTAGACCATTGAAATCCATATTCCTTTAATTTGACTTCCAGAGTATATACCCTTATTTAACGGTACTATGAAAGAAGTTTGGCTTGGTTCAGTATCTAGCAGAAACTCTTGCAATGATTTTGAAATACTTACTATTAACATGTGTTCGGATATAATTTATTACAGAAATTTAATTACACGTGGTTTGCATATTTCGTCTGTCGAAAATAGGAAAATGTATAAATAGTGTTTTCAAGATTGTCAAGCAAATCTAACTCTTTGTGAAAACAGTGTATGTTATAGTGTTCGTAGACAGGTAAATATATATAATGATATGTAATTATATATAATATATATAATGACATATATATATATATATAATGAGATATATATATATATAATGAGATATATATAGAGAGATTATCTGTCTGCCGACACAACCATATACGTATGCTCATCTCAAAGTGTTATTTTGACTTCGGGGTTAAGAAATACTGTCCTGTGTTCGATTTTTCATTTTGGATTTCAATATGCTTATTCTTTAGAATGATGGATCTGATAGATTTAATCAACTCTTAAAACCTTTTTAGTGCTGGTAGGTTAAATTGTATTGAGTTACTGCTAGTGCTGGTAGTTTATATTGAGTCAATGTATGTTCTGGTAGTTTATTTAGAGTTAATGACTGTGCTTGTAGTTTATATTGAGTCATTGTAAGTTCTGGTAGTTTATATTGACTCAATGTATGTTCTGGTAGCTTATTTAGAGTTAATGACTGTGCTTGTAGTTTATATTGAGTCAATGTAAGTTCTGGTAGTTTATATTGAGTTAATGTAAGTTTTGGTAGTTAATACCTAGTTAATGTTATTGCTGGAAGTAATATCTAGTTAATGTTATTGCACGTAGTTAATATCTAGTTAATGCTCGTGCTGGTAGTTAATACCTAGTTAATGTTAGTGCTGGTAGTTAATATCTAGTTAATGTACGTGCTGATAGTTAATATCTAGTTAATGTACGTGCTGGTAGTTAATACCTAGTTAATGTTAGTGCTGGTAGTTAATATCTAGTTAATGTACGTGCTGGTAGTTAATACCTAGTTAATGTTAGTGCTGATAGTTAATATCTAGTTAATGTAGGTGCTGGTAGTTAATACCTAGCTAATGTTGTTGCTGGTAGTTAATATCTAGTTAATGTAAGCCCTGGTAGTTAATATATAGTTAATGTTATTGCTGGTAGTTAATATCTAGGTAATGTACGTGCTGGAGTTGATACCTAGTTAATGCTCGTGCTGGTAGTTAATACCTAGTTAATGTTAGTGCTGATAGTTAATATATAGTTAATGTTATTGCTGGTAGTTAATACCTAGTTAATGCTCGTGCTGGTAGTTAATACCTAGTTAATGCTCGTGCTGGTAGTTTATATTAAGTTTATGCTTTTTTGATCCTACTGAAGTGTTAGTTGTAGATATTAAGTTATAAATCATGTTGAATCCTAATACACGTAATACTTACCCTAAACCACCATTAAATCAGTGCGCTGGCAATGATCCATTCACCACTGTCTTATTGATTAGGGATATCAATGTGTGTTTGTTGTTCGTTCCCGATTGTGTTATCTGATGAAACATATTCACACATCAATCATTGCCACATTTATTGGCAATAGATGAGTATCATACCGTGCCAGGAAGTCCAAAAATACCACAGAGGTCTAAAATATTAATGACCCCGTGATAATGTCCTTATATGTGTATGTCGTACAGTGAGGGATTCGAAAGGGCGAAGTGTCCAAAGGGTGGAATCGAGGAGGGAGTTTGGGGGGTAGGGGTTTTCTGAGGATGGAATGGGGTTTAATTTGAAATACTTGAAACATGTTAGAATTATACATGGAATGCAATAATACATATCGAAAAAAATATAACCTGTGGAGAGCTTAATGGATATTAGAGCCGGTAGCTAGCCATCTTGCATTGCATATACTGCGGAATAGCTTCTATAGATGGCTTCAAATCGAATTCTCTGATAAACAGAACCTTAAAATTAGACTTCGGAGAGTATTTAAATGATAATAAATAATAAATGCTTTAGTTTATTTTAAACAGGAAGTCTTTGATTAAGACCTTAATACCATTTAATACCATATACACATATATGTTTAATCAAATGGTAGATTGCACCGGTGTATTCATCGAGAAAATATCGATATTCTGTCAATCCCGTGGAATTTCTAAAATGGTATTCTACGGAAAACCATTAAATATCCTCTCTCGCTTTCTCTATATAAAAAATAACTAAGTGATAAACAATGTTTTACAAAATAGATAACGACATCTTTTTTAAAAATCCATTGACGTCATATAGTCTTGCAGTCGACAATTAACTTTTGCATGACATAAATACAACAGCAAGATATCCGCTACAGTTGGTTAATTGACCGTAATGTTGTCTTTGTTTGAGACCAAAGCACACACTAACGATGTATTTTTATGTACATATACGTCATAAAAACATCCTGCCTTTTTGTTTTTCTTCTTAATCAACATAGCAAGCACCCATTAATCCATTACATCTAGACATGTATATCTAAATGTGACATCAGATACATGATAAAATGGATGGAAAAATAGATGATACTTTTTTTTAAAATTATAACAATAGACGTTCCAAATCCATGCGAGTGTTAATATTTTTGATAAATAAACAAATTTAATATGGATTGGTTATACGACGCCATTGTGAGTCCAAATAAGATATAAATAACACATATCACTGTATTTATATATAATTTGTGTGTATACACTATACCATAATGTTTCTATCAACAAATACGTTGACTTTATACATTTATATATATACACACACGACAGATGTCATAGTCAGATTAGTAGGAGAAGTATTTGAGTATTCAATGACTACAATGAGCCTTTAGTGTACATGTATAAGATTGGCACTGGAATGGTATTCAGATAAAACACGTACATATACATTCATACATCGACCTGGGAATCTCCAGATTTAATTAATGATTTTACGGGGAAGGAATAAGGCGATACTTCTTGTTTTCTGTCGATACATACTGTGTGGAATTCATAAAAATTTGATCAGTATTGGATATTCTGTGTATTTAATGACCATGGGTCTGGAATGATCTTTTCTCCATACAGACAAACAACAGTGTCTAGTGCAGCCGGGACACTGCAGGTTAGTTCTTTGTATCTCATTATTTTTCTTTAACATTTTATTGTAATTTATTTATCATTTTATGTATGAGCACTTTTACGTGTATACGGATTAACTATATCTTTGCCGGATTTGTCTGACACTTTCAAGAGGCCTACCATTGAAGGGAATTTGAAAGAGACATGACCTAGGTCAGAATTGAGAGTACAGTTATGTACCTGTATGTATATACAACAGCGCTAATGTTTAGGACAGTGTATCTCTGAGATTGCTTACGCCGGGTAGAACTCTACGAAAGCGGTAGGTTTGAGGACAAATTTGACAATGATTTCGTCCAAATGCCGATTTGATTTGATTTGATTTGATTTGAATTTGTTTAACGTCCTATTAATAGCAAAGGTCATTTAATGTCGTGTCTCCGTGTGTGTTGCGTAAGCGTGCAATATGTGTATGTTTGCCGGAGACAGGGTGTGTTGGTGTACTTACCTCTTTGTGATAGCGCGGATCTGATGCCGACTTCATAGTGCTATCTCACTGAAATACCATGCTGAAGGCATTCATCACAGCATTCCGCCCCGTCAAATTATACTGGAAACGGGTTAACCAGTTGTTCCAAATTCCGACAGTAAACTGCTTCATCGCTAATGTCTCAGTGAGAAGCCTAGGCTGTATGTAACTTTAGAGAGTGAGATCGCTAAGTTTGATACTTTTGACAGTGGCATTGCTAGGTCCAGGTAGTATCCTTCTATAACATTAGTATTTAAGACGCTTTTGACAGTGTAATCGCTATGCTCAACTACGCTTTTAGCAGGAAAATATCGCTAGGTTCAATGATACTATAAAATAGAGAGATTGAAAGGTTTAATGATACTTTTGGTAATGATATCGCTTGGTTCAACGATTGTTTTAGCAGTTAATTCGCTAGGTTCAACGATTGTTTTAGCAGTTAGATCGCTAGGTTAAGTTATTTTTTAGCAGTTAGGTCGCTAGGTTAAGCAACTTTTTAACAGTGAGATCTCTAGGCTCATTGACTCTTTGACAGTAGATCTCTAGGCATAATGACACTTTTGACAGTAGATCTCTAGACTCAATGAAACTTTTGACAGTGAGTTCTCTATGCACAATGACACTTTTGACAGTAGATCTCTAGGCTCAATGACACTTTTGACAGTAGATCTCTAGGCTCAATGACACTTTTGACAGTAAGATCTCTAGAAGCAATGATACTTTCGACAGTAAGATCTCTAGACTCAATGAAATTTTTGACAGTGAGATCTCTAGGCTCAATGTCACTTTTGACAGTAAAATCTCTAGACACGATGACACTTTTGACAGTAAGATCTCTAGACTCAATGACACTTTTGACAGTAGATCTCTAGGCTCAATGACACTTTTAACAGTAGATTTCAAGGCTCAATGACACCTTTGACAGTAGATTTCTAAGCTCACTGACACTTTTAACAGTAGATTTCTAAGCTCAATGACCCTTTTAACAGTAGATTTCAAGGCTTAATGACACTTTTGACAGTAAATTTCTAGTCTCAATGATACTTTTGACAGTGCGATCTATAGGCTCAATGACATTTTGACACTAAGATCTCTAGACTCAATGACACTTTTGACAGTAGAATTCTAAGCTCAATGACACTTTTAGCAGTAGATTTCAAGGCTCAATGACGCTTTTGACAGTAGATTTCTAAGCCCAATGACACTTTTAACAGTAGATTTCAAGGCTTAATGACACTTTTGACAGTAAATTTCTAGTCTCAATGATACTTTTGACAGTGCGATCTATAGGCTCAATGACATTTTGACACTTAGATCTCTAGACTCAATGACACTTTTGACAGTAAGATCTCTAGAAGCAATGATACTTTCGACAATAAGATCTCTAGACTCAATGAAATTTTTGCCAGTGAGATCTCTAGGCTCAATGTCACTTTTGACAGTAAAATCTCTAGACACGATGACTCTTTTGACAGTAAGATCTCTAGAATTAATGGTACTTTTGACTGTAGATTTCTAGGCTCAATGACACTTTTGACAGTAGATTTCTAAGCTCAATGACACTTTTAACAGTAGATTTCAAGGCTCAATGACACTTTTGACAGTAAATTTCTAGTCTCAATGATACTTTTGACAGTGCGATCTATAGGCTCAATGACATTTTGACACTTAGATCTCTAGACTCAATGACACTTTTGACAGTAGATCTCTAGGTTTAATGAAACATTTGACATTTGAGAAGGTCTTATATAAATTAAGACTTGAATTAGCGAAGTATGCACTCTAATGTATATATATTATTGTGTTCGCATGATACAAATGCAATGCAATTATTTTACAGCATCAATTATTCAATATTTCTTCAGACTCCAACCATCGAAGATTTCCAATCGATATTTATCTATCCACATTTTAAAATTGAAGCATGCACATGTTGCCGACTAAAAACAAAGCATAATGAATTACTCAGAAACCATTCTAAGACTGAACATTGTATTTCTGAGTAGTAATTAAAGACACCATACTGAATTTAAATCTGAATCACTGAGAAACCATCATAAAACTGAACATTGTATTTCCAAGTACATGTATATACGAAAAGAGACCATAATGAATTTAATTCTGAATTACTCAGAAACCATCCTTAGGATGAACATTGTATTTCTTAGTATATACGAAAAGAAACAATACTGAATTTAATTCTGAATTACTCAGAAACCATCCTTAGGATGAACATTGTATTTCTTAGTATATACGGAAAGAAACAATACTGAATTCAACATAAGACAAAAGCAAAAATTCTTATATGTATAAGACAATACTTGTAGAAACCAACCCAAAAAGGTCAAGTTATTACAAGCCAACTGTATATGGCAAGAATAAACAATGTATATCTAAATAAGTACGTATAGAAACCATCAAAGATAAGATATTAAACATTGCATGTCTAAATATACTCAATATGGCAAAAGGATCATTGTATATAAAAAGAAGGAATAAAAACCATCCGAGATATTGCAATAACCGTTAAGTATATAACTAGACTAAAACTTAATATATAGGTATATATACTTAGGACAAGAGTGAACGTTGTATCTCTTAACATGAATTGTATATACATAGTAACAATTCTAACGAGGACAAGGCTAAACATGTTTGTCTGTGTATGCCCGTACAAAAACCTTTCAAATTAACTTTTGTTCACCTTTCATGGTTTCCATGTGTTTAATGAATCTAGGACAGATGTGTCTACTTTTGATATCCGTATTATCCCCAATTCCCTTAAGTAAATCTTTGATGATTAATCAAGCAAACTGATGATGTAGATGCATGATAGATACGAAATCGCTGTCCTAATGGCTTTACGTTAATGAGAATGTGTATATCTAATTGATCTTTCCAAGAATCCTTGGAAATGTTATTAAGAAATCTTGAATGAATGACAATTTTAGCAGCATGTGATTTCCGAGCTACAGAGGCGTTAAGCCTGTCGTTTCCCGCTAGGAACCACTTCGACACAGTGTTTGATATGTACTTCAGTTAGTAATAAATTCAATTCTATGAGATTACAGAATTGCAGACGACAGATATATTTCTAAACTATAATTAATTGTTTGTAAACATCCCGCTTTTTGTTTGTATCCAGGATGTAAATCAACTTTAATGAATAGTTACCAATTAAGATGAGCGAACGACCTTTAAAACCATGATATACGACACATTTTGCTTTAAATGTCTCCGTGTGAAGTGTCTTCCTGTTTTGAACGTCATGGAGACTATTGAGTAATTGATGTTTAAACATCTGTACTGTGGTTTCTTCTGTCGCTTCGTAAGCTGATGACTTCGGAAATTACAGCATGTGTCAACGTGATCTTCTGTTGCGATTTACTGCAAAATGTTAATTACAATGTAAATATAACGACCCGCAAATGTATTTCCCCATTCAGTAGCGACAATTTATTTTTATGGTGAATACGAATCGAAAATAATTTAGAAAGAAATACTAGAATAACGTTCACCCACCAGTACGTTTCAGAGCAAGTAATGTTATAATTACAATACCATGATTTGGTTAAAATGAGCCCGGTTCGGTATGGCCGTTGACAAGATAAACATAACGAATATCAAACAGCAATCTTCCTTAAGCTAAATATAGCATTCAAGTCAGAATGACATATTAGAAAAAAATGCATTGACAGTTAAAAGGGAGACTAAGAATTATAATGTGATAAACCCCTCTCCCACTGAGCCCAAACACAAATATATATAGATATGAACTTCGTCCCAAATCACGACATTTTTACATACATGTATGTAAATATGACGTGAATATCTATCTTCCGGATTTCTATGGCGACAGACGAGTAAATCTTTAGATTATGTTTTTTTTTACGTAATTTGACACTCGCATGCCATTTGTATTGAGTGTAATTAACAGCAGACCAGGATAAGGGGGTTTCTAATTCATCAAGAGACTAGTGTCTTTTCGTTTAGAGTTGTCAGAGCCCACCAATAAGTTTATGTCACGGCATCCGAGTAGGAACTGCATACATATTTCTCCAATACGTTACTATCAGAACGAGTTCTGCAGAGCTGATTTCCCCACGGCCTAACTTCAGGGAGTCGACAAAACCATGAAAATGAATGTGTCATCTTCGTTCTAACGCACGCCATATCTTCATTTAGTGTCTTATGATTGGTTTAATGGTCTGTCGTCTCGGATGGTCTACGTCTGTTAGACGCTTGACTGATATATCAATGCTATTATTTTTTTCATTAGACGCTTGAAGATCTCATGGTCGTAGATAATGCACACCCTTCTATGATTTTTAAGCCTTTGATATAGTTTATAGGTAAATTTTGAGTTTGATAGTTGATGTTCTCTCAATCAAACTGCTTTTAGTAAAAAAAAATGTCAATACAGTTTAGTCTCGGTAACTAAACACCGGAAGCTAGTACGACCATGGATAATGCATTATCTCCGTGTTTTGTTTCTTCCGCTTTGCCAAAAACGATATATCTTTTGATTATAGTGTGTCTCGCCCTCGTCATGTAAATATCGACGCACACTGGGCAAAAGGAATACGTGAATAACGCTTAAACTCTTTCGACCTCACCCAACGTATCAATATCAGAATGGATATTTCTTGAAAGTTTTAATAAAGGTAAGGTCTTATAATGATCTGTATCACTTTATCATGCAAATAGACAAACATTTGTTTTTGTAATTCACCTATATATCTCAACATTTGTGTAAAGGTTCATTAGGCATTTTCCCTTTGCTTTGCTTTCACCTACAAAATGGGTAAATAGCACACAAACCAGATAAGAAGCAGATAATAGATTAACAACACGAATATTGACGTTAAAAGAGGATGCTTAAGTAAGTTTACTTTATAGCTCTCACTAAAAGTAATTCGTTAACTTAAACAAATCTTCACATTTGTCATGGGAGTAGATCAACGGAAACAGGCCTGCTGACTAGCATCCTCAAATATTCGGAAATTACCGAGAGTTGGGCAGAGCTTGTTATGACCTGATTGCACCGAGAAGATGTCGATCTTCGGACAACAGAAAATGTGGTTATTGTAGTTAAGATAGGGGAGAGGGAGTAAGCGAGTAAACCTGTGTCGATTAAAACATAGGAGCAGTGATCATCAACTGCTGATAATCGGTTTTCAGCTTTGTATTAAGTTGAACGAAATGGGTGCAGCATGATATCATATCAAACATACGACTATTAAGTTAATTTACATATTAGCTGTATGTGAGAAAAGCCAATAGCACACTCCTATAAAATAATTAACTTCAAAATAAAATAAAGAAATAACCGCTCAGACTTAAAATACTGCAGGCAAATACCGAGATGCATTTATAGAATTATAATCCAATAACAAAAATTAGAATGATTTGCTTTAGCAGAAATATGACAAGGGAAAATGTAATTTACATTCAAGATTTGATATTTTTGGCTGATTGTCATTTAACATGCTGTTTTCATAGCTGAATCGATATGCTTTTCGACAAGGATCAATAACGGCTATACTTGATATCTTATACAACAGGAGATACGGCAAGTTATATTGATGTATTAGAGAGTATGGCAAAGATTCGAGTCTATAATTGGCGAGGATTGTTAACAGAGAAAGTATCCTATTTGTAGTACAAATAGGGCTTCATGTTGGAGACAAGATGATTTCATTTGCGTCATATTTATCGACTTGGTTAAACCTTCAAAGTCTTCTACCTATAAATACTATTAATTTTAAAAATTCAACAACACTGGTGCGGGTTTAAGCCTTTTAAAATTCTGTATCCAACCCATCGACATGTTATAGCGCAAAATGAGGAAAAAAAGAAAATAACGTAAAAAATGTTCCGGTGACGTTTTGTCTGGTATTTGTGAGAAGCACATCTTGTAATGTTTAATGTGTCTTATAATGCTATTTGTTCCTAAGTTAAGTCACAAAATTTTGAGTCACACTATTTTATGGAATGATCCAATATTGCATTAACCTGTTTTATTTATATTTACTTATGTTTTTTCTTCGAAATACCAGCAGTGCTTATATTTATGGTTGTATTTTAACACTTATGGATACTTCAGACTTTGCTTTTTTATTATTTATTTATTTGTAACCGTTGCATGATCGTTGTCGATGTTTGATCGTTTTCACCATATTTCATCCAGGATTTACAATTTAATAAAATGTACAACACAATTTGAACGTACATTGTATGCCTCTTGAAATATCGATTTAGCATTTTGTTTTAATTATTTATATTATCCAAATATTGATGAAGCAACAGCACAACTATTCTGACGTCTGAATGCAAACAGTAATTGACGTTCTTTATTTTTCGCACGAAGAGAAATTTCTCATTAAAGATACAATTTTTTGTAATTTGATTGTTTTTTGACCTTGGAGGACGTTTTCTTTGACCTTCGTCGTTGCTATGGCTGTCTCTAATCACTGTTCTCTAAACTCTTGACTGCCGATCCGCTAGGACAACTCGGATGACTTTTCCAATGGGATCACTGATAGCAACAGCGAGTGGCATGCCGATCACTGCCAATGGAACTCTCCGGGGAAAGGAAATGTAGTCGTGGGATAATTGGATCCGATTTCAACATTGCAGGATATTTACGAATTTGTCGAGCTGTTAATTTCACAGACCATTGCCCATACGCATGCGCATATAACTAACGACGTTCAGACATCATCGATTTGGATGATAAAATCTCCAATATCCTTCAGTAAATCATTGGAACAATGAAAATGGAAGATATTTTGTGTTGTCCCTAAATAACGTTTAAATACTGCAGGATGTTTCTACAGCTTCATGGTCGATTTCTCTTCTAATCTGTAGATATGACGCCAACGGGAGCTACAGGCGGCACATCCAGGATTGGTACTGTGTGTGTACAGGTCTGATGTCCAGAGGCAAGTGTGTGCTGCTGCTTAAATCTGTAATGGTGAGTTGGCGACACGATGTTTGATCTGATTTATATCAGCGTTACCTGTATGCCTGATTCAATGTTAGCATTACCTGTGTTTGTCCGATTTCATGATAACATTACCTGTATGCCTGATTATATCTTAATATTACATGTATGAATGATTTCAGGTTAACATTACCTGTATGACTGATTTCAGGTTAACATTACCTGTAACAGATTTCATGTTAATTACCTGTAAGACTGATTTCATGTTAAAATACCTTTGTAACTCCCTTCATGTTAACATAACGTGTCGGACTGATTTCACGTTAACATGACCTTTGTGACCGATTCCATGTTCAAAATACCTGTATGACTGGTTTTACGTTAATATCAACTGTATGACCGATTCCATGTTAAAATACATGTATCACTGATTTCATGTTAAAAATCCCTGTAACAGATTTCATGTTAATTACCTGTAGGACTGATTTCATGTTAAAAATACCTTTGTAACTGACTTCAAGTTAACATTACCTGTCGGGTTTATTTCACGTAAACATGACCTTTGTGACCGATTCAATGTTCAAATTACCTGAATGACTGGTTTTACGTTAATATCAACTGTATGACAGATTCCATGCTAAATTAAATGTATGACTGATTTCATAATAATATACCTGTATGTCTCATTACATGTTAAAATACCTGTATGACTGCTTTCATTTGAATTATTTGTTTGACTAATTGATTCATTACAACATGATCTTTACGACTGATTTCATGTTCAAATTACCTGTTTGACTGATTTCATCTATGATATTAATTTCTTGTTAATATGACCTGTTTGACAGATTTCATGTTAACATTACCTGTTTAACTGATTTCCTGTTAACATTACCTGTATGATTTCATGTGGAACAGATTTATGTCAGTAGTACGTGCTTCTTGACTAATTCCATCTAAACACTACTGGTTTGACTATGATCCATCTATTTATAACAGTAATATAATGTACTCCTCGTGTACACATTAACATACTCAATATCGACAGCACTTACTTACATGTTGGTGAATATAAGGCATTTAATGTATCAACACATGCTTAATTCTATTCAGATTATGATTTGTTGATTGAGATAACTGTTTATCAGATATAATAACAGCATTGAAAGAAAATTTAGCTGTATTTGTATGCAAAGCAAAACTAATAGGAACTTAGGATTAAGTAACATGCAAAATACATATTTCTATCAAACTAAATTAAGCACTTTCATTTGTACCTCTGAAGAGTTAGGTAAGATAATGTTTGATCATGTTATGATTTTCTCACGTTTGATATGTCGTGCTATTATTTCTCTGACGACAATAACATGTCGTGTGATGATATCTATCATGTTGATATGTTGTGTTATAATATATATCATGTTGATTTGTCGTGTGATGATATATATCATGTTGATATATCGTGTAATGATTTCTATCACGTTGATATTTCGTGTTATGATTTCTCTGACGTTAATAAGTCGTGTTATGATATCTATCACGTTGATATATTGTGTAATGATTTCTATCATGTTGATATAACGTGTGATGATTTCTATCATGTTGATATATCGTGTGATGATTTCTATCATGTTGATATGTCGTGCTATTATTTCTCTGACAAGAACATGTCGTGTGATGATATCTATCATGTTGATATATCGTGTGATGATATCTATCATGTTGATATGTCGTGTGATGATATATATCATGTTGATATATCCAGTTATGATTTCTATCACGTTGATATGTTGTNTAATGATTTCTATCATGTTGATATAACGTGTGATGATTTCTATCATGTTGATATATCGTGTGATGATTTCTATCATGTTGATATGTCGTGCTATTATTTCTCTGACAAGAACATGTCGTGTGATGATATCTATCATGTTGATATATCGTGTGATGATATCTATCATGTTGATATGTCGTGTGATGATATATATCATGTTGATATATCGTGTTATGATTTCTATCATGTTCATATGTTGTGTTATTATTTCTATCACGTTGATATGTTTTGTAATGATTTCTATCATGTTGATATGTCGTGTGATGATATATATCATGTTGATATATCCAGTTATGATTTCTATCACGTTGATATGTTGTGTTATTATTTCTATCAGGTTGGTATGATGTGTTATGATTTCTATCACGTTGGTATGTCGTGTGATGATATCTATCATGTTGATATATCGTGTGATGATTTCAATCACGTTGATATGTCGTGTTATGTTTTCTATCACGTTGATATGTTGTGTTATGTTTTCTATCACGTTGATATGTTGTGTTATGTTTTCTATCACGTTGATATGTTGTGTTATGATTTTTATCACGTTGATATGTTGTGGTATGCTTTTTAGTATGTTGATATATCGTGTTATGAATTCCATTACGTCGATAAGTCGTGTTATGCTTTTTAACACGTTGGTATGATGTGTTATGATTTCTATCACGTTGGTATACCGTGTTATGATTTCTATCACGTTAATATATAGTGTTGTTTTCTATCATGTTGATACGATATGTTATGATTTCTATCACGTTGGTATGATGTGTTATAATTTCTTACACGTTTATATATCGTGTTACAATATCTATCACGTTGATATGATGTGTTAAGATTTCTATCACGTTGAGATGTTGTGTTATAATTTCTATCACGTTGGTATGATGTGTTATGATTTCTATCACGTTGATATATCGTGTTACAATATATATCACGTTGATATGATGTGTTATGATTTCTATTACGTTGATATGTCATGTTCTGATTTCTATCATGTTGGTATGAAGTGTTATGATTTCTATCACGTTGGTATGTCGTGTTATGATCTCTATCACGTTGATATATCGTGTTATGATTTCTATCACGATTGTATATCGTGTTATAATTTCTATCACGTTGATATATCGTGTTACAATATTTATCACGTTGATATGATGTGTTATGATTTCTATCACGTTGATATGTCGTGTTATGATTTCTATCACGTTGATATGTCGTGTTATGATCTCTATCATGTTGATATATCGTGTTATGATTTCTATCACGTTGATATATCGTGTTATGATTTCTATCACGTTAATATATAGTGTTGTTTTCTATCACGTTGAGATGTTGTGTTATAATTTCTATCACGTTGGTATGATGTGTTATGATTTCTATCACGTTGATATGTTGTTTTATAATTTCTATCACGTTGATATATCGTGTTATGATTTCTATCACGTTGGTATATCGTGTTATGATTTCTATCACGTTGATATGTCGTGTTATGATCTCTATCACGTTGATATATCGTGTTATGATTTCTATCACGTTGATATATCGTGTTATGATTTCTATCACGTTAATATATAGTGTTGTTTTCTATCACGTTGAGATGTTGTGTTATAATTTCTATCACGTTGGTATGATGTGTTATGATTTCTATCACGTTGATATGTTGTTTTATAATTTCTATCACGTTGATATATCGTGTTATGATTTCTATCACGTTGGTATATCGTGTTATGATTTCTATCACGTTGATATGTCGTGTTATGATCTCTATCACGTTGATATATCGTGTTATGATTTCTATCACGTTGATATATCGTGTTATGATTTCTATCACGTTAATATATAGTGTTGTTTTCTATCACGTTGAGATGTTGTGTTATAATTTCTATCACGTTGGTATGATGTGTTATGATTTCTATCACGTTGATATGTTGTTTTATAATTTCTATCACGTTGATATATCGTGTTATGATTTCTATCACGTTGGTATATCGTGTTATGATTTCTATCACGTTAATATATAGTGTTGTTTTCTATCATGTTGATACGATATGTTATGATTTCTTTCACGTTGATATGATGTGTTAACATTTCTATCACGTTGAGATGTATTGTTATAATTTCTATCACGTTGGTATGATGTGTTACAATATCTATCACGTTGATATGATGTGTTAACATTTCTATCACGTTGAGATGTTGTGTTATAATTTCTATCACGTTGGTATGATGTGTTATGATTTCTATCACGTTGATATATCGTGTTACAATATATATCACGTTGATATGATGTGTTAACATTTCTATCACGTTGAGATGTATTGTTATAATTTCTATCACGTTGGTATGATGTGTTACAATATCTATCACGTTGATATGATGTGTTAACATTTCTATCACGTTGAGATGTTGTGTTATAATTTCTATCACGTTGGTATGATGTGTTATGATTTCTATCACGTTGATATATCGTGTTACAATATATATCACGTTGATATGATGTGTTATGATTTCTATTACGTTGATATGTCATGTTATGATTTCTATCATGTTGGTATGAAGTGTTATGATTTCTATCACGTTGGTATGATGCGTTATGATTTCTATCACGTTGATATGTCGTGTTATTATCTCTATCACGTTGATATATCGTGTTATGATTTCTATCACGTTGATATATCGTGTTACAATATATATCACGTTGATATGATGTGTTATGATTTCTATCACGTTGATATGTCATGTTATGATTTCTATCATGTTGGTATGAAGTGTTATGATTTCTATCACGTTGGTATGATGCGTTATGATTTCTATCACGTTGATATGTCGTGTTATGATCTCTATCACGTTGATATATCGTGTTATGATTTCTATCACGTTGGTATATCGTGTTATGATTTCTATCACGTTAATATATAGTGTTGTTTTCTATCATGTTGATACGATATGTTATGATTTCTATCACGTTGGTATGATGCGTTATGATTTCTATCACGTTGATATGTCGTGTTATTATCTCTATCACGTTGATATATCGTGTTATGATTTCTATCACGTTGATATATCGTGTTACAATATATATCACGTTGATATGATGTGTTATGATTTCTATCACGTTGATATGTCATGTTATGATTTCTATCATGTTGGTATGAAGTGTTATGATTTCTATCACGTTGGTATGATGCGTTATGAT